AAATCAGCTTCTAATGATGATAAAACATATGAACGAGGAATAATACTCAAAATTGATAAAAACTATTTCCATTTGTTTTTAATCAAAATAAAACAAACATTTTCATATCGAGTTGTTACGCTGCAATCATATATATCTTATGATCTTTATTAAACGATGAAAATGCTTCATGATGTAAACGCATTTTATTGGGACCATTGGATCTTCTTTGAGTTTTTATTTTAATCAAATCATAATAAACATGACATAATTCTAAATGTTGAATAAAGAAAAAGAAAAAGAAAAAAATGGATTATCTTTCCGTTATTGATTTCGATGGATAATCTAAATATTGTAATTTCTATAAGAATATGATTTTCTTCTTTTTTTTGTCTTTTATTTGTATGATTATGTCAGGCTTCGAGTTCAATAATCGATGTTTGTATATTAGCTAAATGTTTCTTAAAATTATCAAGTTTAAATAATATCTTCGTAATTTAATTGAACTTTTTCTATATAATTTACGAAATTTGAAATATGATACACATATCCAATTATTTCAATAGATTCTTTTAAATAACCAAAAGAAATTATTTCTCGATTGAGTTTTTCTTATTTAATTCCATAAGTTTAATTTTATCATTAACAATAAATAATTCAACAGCACATACTAGACGAAAAAAAGAAAATAATGATATGTTATTTTTAAAAATCCACAAACCATTATCTTCGTTCGATATTGTTTTTCAATTGAATTTCAGTTTTAGTTTAAATTTCATCAAGATTCGCTCTAGCCTCATAATAAATAACACTTTTTCCCACTTAAGCAACCAACGAAAAAAGACAAATCATACATAAGCATGTGATAATTCGTTTGAACATCTGTTGTTAAATTAGTACATGATTTTAGTTATTTTAGGGCTAAAGAAAAGAATCAAATTACTGTATGTGAAATAAAAGAATTCGATTTTTATATATTTCAATGATTATTATAGTATACTATATTTTTTTTTGTTAATCATAGTATTTTGTTCTCTACATTTGTCAACAATTTGAGAATGTAAACTAAAAGATTTATCTGAGTTGGTTTTTTTTCAATAAATAAAATATAATCATAAAATGAAAATAATAATAATAATAATGAAATAGGACTTGTACATATAATTCAAGTAAAAACGAAATAAAATCGAAAAAATGAAGTTAATTTCTATAGATGTTCTAGGACAAGCATGAAGACGGATGACTTTTCAGGGAACTTTGGATTCTGTAGTAGATGATAATGAAGAAGAGTTTTTGGGTTTCGCATTATTTGCGGTAAGTTTGAGCTAGTGAAATGTAGGAGAAGTTGTTAAAAGGTCATGCTGACAAAAAAATGGAGAGAAGAGTAAGAGAGGGAGAAGAGACGAGTAATGAATCATAGATAGATGAGAAGAAGGAAAAAAGGAAGGAAGAACATCATATAAACGTGGAGCGAGGATGAAAGTCTGGGTATAGAAGAAACAAAAAGAAAGAAAAGGAAAGAATGAAAAAAAATGAATACGCACATGCTCATGTCTCCAAAACATGGTATCTACTGCTTTTATTTCTTTTTTTTATTATATTACTGGGCCTACTTATTGTTTTTTGTTCGTTTGTTCCTTCTTTTTTTTCATATTCGTTGCAGGTTTATTATTTTATTGTGCCTACTGGTTCATTTTTTCTTTTTTTGTTTTTACCTTACACTCGTACAAACTACTGTTGAGCTCCACTGTCCATTTAGAATGGTCACAGTCATAGCGGCAATAATGCTTAAAAAAAATTATATAGTAATTGATTTTATTTAATATGTGATAGAGCTTTCAAGTTTTACTAAGCCATCATTAATATTACTCTAAGCTTTGGTGTTCGTTTGTGCTGTTCGACTTACAAGATTTAGAACAATAAGGATATAGTAACTCAAAGAGAGGTTGTTTGAGTGGATGCAGATAAATGAGTGCATGAAATGAATAAATGATTATTTTTTTTTTGTGAGGAGTGACTAATGTTTGACAGTATGTTTATTTGTCTGAAGTGATAGAATAATCGGCATGGAGAATAAAAAAATGGGCGTACTTGTTTTGGTTTACTTTAATTGTTGGAAATGCGGTAAAGAGTGTTTTTGTTTATTTTCAGTATTTTTTTGACTGGATGGGTTGATATTTTATATCCTTCAGGAAACACGTATAGGGGAACGGATTTATCAGTGCCATTAAGTGTTGGTTGTCTTGCGCACATTTCGATGGATTCTTTGATCAGGAGCCGGTATGAGTTTTGATCTTGGTTAATTATATGGACATTTTGAAAGTCTATTGAATGATCTGTGTTTTTTACGTGTTTATCCAAAGCAGAATTAGGTTTATAAAAGTATATGTCTTGTTCGTATTGTTGGATTTGTGATTTAGATTGTGTTTGTTTTTTGAGTAATCTACTGCTGCGACGTAGTTGTTGACTTGATGTTTCCTTTTGAATACGGCCCTAAATTATGTGTTTGTTCCGTTGATTGTTTTTGTGGTGTGGTAGAGTCAGAGAAATGGTCTTTTGGAGACATATGGTAGCTTTTACGACATCTTTTTCATGTTCACCAAGACGTTGATACACTTGTCTTATCATTTTTCCTATATAATCGTGATTACAATTATTGCAGGTTATTTGGTATACAACGCCGGATTTTTGGTGGTTAGTAAGTGAATATTTTGTAGGAAAGAAGTGTTTTGTTGTGTTTGTTGTTTGATAAATAACTCTGAGATCTGATGTAGGATCATTTTTTATGATGATAGATTTTGATCTCTTTGTAAACACATAACTTGGTTGTCCGATGTATGGTATTTCAATGTACTTGTATTTTTTATTTTCGTTTGATGGTTGTTGAATTTCGTTTTGCGGCTCTTTCGGTTGTTGTAGTTTCTCTGATTGCTTCTCTATTATTTGTTGAACAAACTTAGCAGGATAACCTTTGAAGTTTGCTGTCGTACGAATATACTCGAATTCATCAATTAATAAGTCAGGTTTTGAACGTATTCTAAGTGCTCGATTCACTACTGTCCCATTTAAGCATGAGTTTGGTCGTTGTTTTCTTTCTATATATCGTTGTATCAAAACCATTGTTGTGTCGTATTACTAATACTTCGAGAAATGGTATGATACTATTGGTTTCAGGTTCAAGCGTAAATTTGATACATGGATGGAATGTATTTAATAATTGTAGAATTTCATCTTCGTCTGTATCGTTAGTACAAATTGTGAATGTATCGTCTACATATCGACTCTACGCGAGTAACTTTGAGTCATTGTCGTTGAGTAAGATAGGTAGATATTTTTCTTCAAAATGTGCCATAAATATTTCTGCAAAAACTGCGGCTAGAGGTGTACCCATCGAAACGCTAACACATTGTTCATAGTATTTGTTGTTAAAGAGGAAATGAGTACCTGTAGTAGCAAATTCTAATAATTTACGAAAATAATCTTCAGGAATAAAAGGTCTTAATTTTGGATCCGTGCAATACAATTTATTGCAGATAATTTTGATAGTTTCACGAACTAGAACATTTGTAAAAAAGAGTTTATATATCAAAACTAATCATTTTATTATTTTTAGATAAATATGAATTTTGTTGTATGAATTTAAAAAAATCATTGGTATTCTTTAATGAATAAGGGCTATCACGTATTGGTTTGATGATATTAGCCAAAAATTTACCTAATTTGTAGTTGTATGATTTAATGCATCATACTATAGGTCGGAGAGGTACGTTATCTTTATGAACTTTTGGTAAGCCGTATAATCTTACTGAAACAGAACCTACTGGTTTAATATATTTATATTCTTGTTGTGTCAAATATTCTTCGTTTTTCATTTGTCGTAAAATAGTGATTAATGCGTTTTCGCGAGAAATGGTAGGATCTTCATTCAATAATTTAAATTTTTTATTATAACTTAAAATGTTTTCTAATTTTTCAATATAATCATTATGATCAAGTATTACGACACCAGGACCTTTATCAGGTTTAGTAATTAAAATAGATGGATCTTTGGATAAATTTAATAATATTTTGTCATCATTATTTTCATTTAAATTTTTATCTTTTCTCATCTTAATTGACATTTGTGCATCTTGGAAGAATTTTTCTGTTGCATTTTTTAAATCTGCTGCGAGAGATAGTTGTTTTGGTTCTAAAACTCGAATTTCTTTATTTGCAATATCATCAGGATCTTCGTTCCATTTTTTAAAATCAATTGATTCTTTTGGAACTTTAGAAGCCTAATGGAATAAATATTCAACATTGGAGATTACTTTAGGACGATTAATTGTGCAAGAACGGTTGTAAGACATTTCTTCACTCTAAAAAAAATCGGTTTCTTACCGAACCCCCAAAAAAGGTTCC